CTAAACTCCAATGTTTTTAGTTTTGTCTCGAATATAACAAGAAAAAACCTATCGTCTTCGGGGAGGAGCCGGAGGTGGCAACCACTTATTGTCGTTCTTTGTCACTTGAAGAACGGAAGCAACAGACCCAATCAAAGTAAACACGAGAATAATGATGGCGGCGACAGTGGCAGTTCCGGTCCAAAGATCTTTGAAGTAGACTCGCCGGAGTGTGGCAATAGATCTGTTGAGACTACTGTCGTAGTGTTTGGCGATACTTTCGGTTATATCGTAATAGTGAGAGCCATAATCAGCAATACCTAAACACATCTTGTTCAACATTTCCGTTACTGGTTCTTGATGTCCTAACCAGTTCTCTATAACACCTGTTTCATGTAAGATTCTCACGATATTTAATTATTGATCTAATTATAACAAGAAAAACTTATTCGAGAATAGAATAAAAATGATTATTAGTTATGTGATTATAAAATAATTTAAAAATATGGAATGTACCTTGGTTTACGAGCAACTCTACGTCTTTCTCGGTTTCAATGAGACCGTCCAAGAAGTCGATGTAGTTACAAACATAGGCTGTGTTAGAGTAATGACATTGCTCGAGTGCCATCATGTTCCTAAAAACCCTTTCTGTGGAATCCGCTACCATGAAGCAAGGCAATGTTAAGATTCCATCTTCAAATTTAATCACCAAAGATGATTTTTCTTTAGAAACTACAAATTCTACTCCTGCACTGTCTAGCTCGTCTGCATTGCGAAGACTCCTTATCGGCTTCTTTTTCTCAAGTTTTGCGTTAATCTCCTCTTCTTTCGTCAGACCAAGCGTCTCGACACGGACACACCGACACAAATCCGTGAAATGTAAGAATTTCGTTTCTCTTTTGATCTTTTCTTGGATATTAAAACCTTTAAGGATCATGTTACGGAACGTTACGTTAGCTTCATGCTTTGTGTAAAAGGGTTCGAAGAGATTTTCTAAAAGGGTATAAGGAAGTTGGTTATCAAGCAAGATTAGGTCTTCAAAGATTGTATTTTGGTGACAAGGCTCGTCGAAAAGAAAATCTCCTGTTTTTTCGAGGTACTGAGGTCCGTACAACTTGAAGAACACTAGTATAAACACCGAGTCATGGAGCATCATTTCAACAAAGTCGTGAGAGTTGATCCACTCCGTTGATTCTGCGTAACATGCTCTTATGAATTCCTCATCTCTTTTGATGATTCTTCTGAACTCCTCGACCGTTTGATTTCCATACCTAAGCTCAATATTTTCGAGGTACTTCTTCTTGTGCTTCTCCATCTTCATATAGTCCAAATATCTGAGAGGAAAGAGTGCGCGCATAAAAATGGAAGCAAAACTCCTCAAAGTGATAGTAAACCATAATATATCATAAACTGAATTGTAATAATAGTTTTTTTCTTTTCTTCTGCCGAATGAATGAAATTGAGTTAAAATGTAGATGAAAAATACTTTAAATTATTCTAGTAGGTTATACCATACAATTTAGTTTTTTTTTTTTTAAACTATAAAATTTTGATTCAAAATCTAACCAAAAACAAAAAATACATTTTAGACCTACTATTTACAAAACCACATGGGACGAAGAATGAATACCCACATACAGATAAGTTTGTGTTGTATACCTCGAATCGGTTTTAGAAAGCTCAGTTTTCTTAGAATGGTGAAACGGACCAATTAGAAGCATCTGAGGAGTGTAAGCCTCTGGGTTCACTCGCTTTAACCGACATGGCACTCTATAGATGCAACGATAGTTGTTATTAACCGAGTAAGGCCATAAAAAGGGGACCTCGGATAAAGAACCCGGTCTATCCGACTCCGAGGTAGTCATGACCTTCACTAAAGGAAAGTAAACTTGGCTAGAGTCCGTTTCATTGATGGGCTCTTCTTCTCGATTCGAAGTTAGCTTAGGATTATCGCAAGTAGCAATAGTTCCTTGTGATCCCTTTTCTAGATCCATACTCAGCGGTTGCTGTTGTTCTACGAGTAAGTAGTTATTACATATTTGAAACTTTACTAAACAAAAATTATTGATGAAATATTATAACTTCAGTTCCTTCATTATGTACTTTTCTGTATATAAATAATCATATTATATTTCCATTGTGTGTATATTACTATATAATAAGATTTACGAAACTATGAAAAGTTTAGAAAATCTCCATTGGTGTATTTCTAATAGGTTCTTAATTTTGCAAACAATAAAAATAATAATATAAAAATAGATGGGTATCTCAATATCTATTTTTATATTATAATTTTTTTTTTTTGCAAAATTAAGAACCCCATTAGAAATATACTAATGGAGGTGGTCTTAGGGCTTTAATAGTAAGACTTATAGGGTTCTAATTATTTTTGGATTTATGTTCTTAAAATAAAAGAAGTTAAGTAATAAACGTGGATAAAAACGTATATATAGACACATCGAACATAAGAAATGATTAGAAAAGGTAGAAGGCGATGATAATATAATTATAAAATTTTGTCTTAAGAAGTTGTACTCAAACAAGATTCACTAACCTTGGCCATCTGTCTGCACTTTCAGCTTTAGCTTCGAACCTTGGCCATGTTTGCTGATAAAGGCAATTCTTATTATAAGCCTAAAACTTATCGTTTGGATTTATATATGTGTTAAATAGAGGATAGAGAAATAAATGATGTGAATTTGAAGCTTTTTTTCTTTAACACAAAAATGCTCCAGAGCAAAAATGCTCCAGAATAAAGCTTCATATTCTCTCTTTTTTTGTGTTAAAGAAAAAAAGAGAGAATATGAAGCTTTATTCTGGAGCATTTTTGCTCTTTTTATATTGCGTCTACTTTAGGCAATCATCCCACCTTTTTTCTTCCTTTATTTTATTTTTTGTCGTCACTTTTCTAAAAGTCCAACGTGGAACTCACTAAACGTGAGTCCGACCGGCAAATGAAAATTGTGAGCAGGACATTGTGAAGAATATCCAAAACTAAATTAATATTTGTTGTGTTATTCAGATTCAAAAATGTATCATATGCTTAACATTCATATCCAAAAAAAAAACGTATGATAAAAAATAGTATCATTTTTTTAATGCAGTTAATGGTCATATAGATGGTGAAATGACTTTTTGTTGCTGCGCTGCGGTGAGGAAGGTACGTATTTATTTATTTTTCTAAAAAGATGAATCGTTAATTAAACACAAATTTCGTTATAGAGATACCAAAATATTCAACTTTTG